TCTCTCCCATTGCAGTTTTGCAGAAGGTGGAGACTTTCTCCCTCCCCATTGGGCTGGGACTCTGCTTCCTCCACTGGAGAAAGCCAGTTTGGTGTAGTGGTTAGGAGCGCCGTCTCCAATCTGGGAGAACCGGGTTTGATTCCCCCACTCCTCCACATGCAGATGCTGGTGTGACCTTGGGTCAGTCACAAGTTCTCTCCGAGCTGTTCTCTCAAGGGCAGTCCTTGAAAGAGCTCTCTCGGCTCCACCTGCCTCACAGGGTGTCTGTTGTGGGGAGGAGAAAGATTGTAAGCAGCTCTGAGACTCCTTTGGGTCATGAAGGGCAGGGTATTTGCTTGAGGACACTCTAGCTCTGACTTTGATAGCCACACAGGTGCTTTTTGGACCTAAATTGGAAGTTGATTTGTATCTTACTGATTTTTTTTTTTTAAATCTCTGCTATTATATTGGCTTTTATTTACGGCATTCGCTTTTTAAATATATTTTATCTTTTAGATGTTCTAATTCAGCAAGTGTGCATTTGGCACCAGGCACGTGACTTTCACCTTTTGAGGCCTCACAAACATCTTTCTCTCGTGTCTTTAGATCTCGCTGCTTGAGTAAGTAATATAGCCATTTTTACTACACTGTAAGTGGAAAAAATATTTGATTATTCATACTCAAGATTCTTTTTTTCTACAGCCTTCCTTTTTTTGGGTCCAATGTTCACTTATTGGTTATCTTATTGTTATATGTATTAAAGTTACGTGTACCTCAGTATTGTTTGACCTCTGAAGAAGGCCCCCAATAGGGCGGAAACGCATCGGGTCATGTGCATTGGCCCTTGTATTTAGGCTATCCTTTTTTACGAGGCGTTCATTGGGCCCTTATGTATGTTTTTAACTGTCTTTCTAATACACAGGAGCCATTTCCTGCGGGAGCACACAGGAATGGAGCTCCGGCAGTAAGGAGCCCAGGGAGCGGGCACATGCAACAAGCCCTGCCCTCTGCTCCCAGCAGCCCTCAGTCGGGCCACGAGGAGCAATAAGCAGCCAGGTAAGTTGCAGAGCCCCCCCCCCGGCCTGCCTTCAGGTACAAGCTCTCCCTCCTCTGTGAGGGCAGATCTGCACGTCCCCCCCCCCAAAGCTAGGAATCTAAAACAGTCCAGTGGAGCCTGAGCGGTGGGTGTTGCCTTCTGACACACTCCCGGTGATGTCAGGGTGTGTGGCCTATGCAAATAAGTTATGCTAATAAGCCCCTGCACCTCTTTTTCTACAAAATGACCCCTGCTAATAAATACTTGTATTTTTGTATATTATAAGTTTCAACTAGGTTTTTAATATTGGCCCTTTATCAGACTTCTTTCTTACCCTTGTGGTTCTTGATTCCAGTTTTTGGGTCAGGGTTCTTTTCCCCTCCCTGTGTCTCCCTGTTCCGCAGGGCCTGTAAGACGGAGCTCTTCCGCCAGGCCTTTGGCTGAGTCAGCGGACAGCCAATCATCTGGCCTCCCTTGCTGACACTGCCCTATTACGTCTGCCCCCGTAAGCGAGGTGGTATCCTTGCTTCCGCCGGTACTCTTGCGGTCATCTCTTCAGCTCAGCTGGGACCTTATAGATTAATATATAAGCCTGCCATCTTCTAACAATGTTGAGGTGAATTACTGTTGTAACGGTTTTAATAATTTGTGAACTGTCTGTCGTTTCCTGCTCCGAGCCCGCCTCTGGGAAGGGCGGGATAGAAATCGAAGAAATAAAAAAATGAAATGAAAATAAATAATGGCCAATCAGAAGCCTAGCTGGGCGAAAAGCCCCACGTGGCTTTTTAAAAACTCTTGGCAGGAAAGGTGTCGATGGGCACCCATAGAAGGCACCGTGTTGAGGACTCTGGCTCTAGAGAATTCTCCCACTGATACAAGAGAAGTAGACTCTCCGGCAGGGTGTGGGAACTTGGCGGGGGGTGGATTTATTGAGGCCCCTGGAATATTGCCACGGATCCTTGCCGGTGCTTCCGGGGTTTCCACAGGTTCCATGGCAGAGAAATCAACAGGGAAAAACAGTTCCTGGAAGCAATGCTCCCTCTAAGCTGTGGAGTCTTGTGAGCAAAAACTCTACTTTGGCCCCGGTCACACGGGCCGGATAACGCGGGGGGGGGGATGCGTGGCTGTTACCCCCGGAAGAAAATTAAGCGCGGTAGCCCGATCACACGGTCCCCCAAGGCTTTGTGCTTCCACTGTTAACTGGCGCTCACACGGCGATGCTGGGGCGTGGCAAAGAAGCGGCGCGGCAAGCACGTTGCGTTTGTGCGCATGCGCAGTTCCGCGGAGCAGCACTGCTTTCAGTTATGTGTTTGTGGACATGCGCTTACGAAAAACATCCGGTTTGCGACGGGATGTGGATGGGTGCCGGATGCCACGGGATAAGAGCGCTCCCGCGATCAGACGCCTGCCCCTGCCCTGCTTTTCCGGATACTAGTGCACTTTCCGCGGTACTTTTTTACTCCGCATCTTTGGCGGGACGCCACAGATTGGCGCGCTACGCTTCCCAGATGTTGCGGTGTGATTGTGCACCAAAAATCTGCCTGACATTCGTGTCTTTAGCGCGGCAACTTCTCCGTGTGAACGGGGCCTTTGTGAGCTCCTGGCATTAAAGCTGTAGGCGAGCGATTTGCCTGCTGCATCAATCAGTTTGCCCTGGAGCCCTCCTTCCTGAGCTCAGATGAAAATGTGTGAGCCGGAGGCTAAAAAAACTGTGAGCTAGCTCACACTAACTCAGCTAAGAGGGAACACTGCCTGGAAGTAGAAAGCCTGAAGGTTTCCATCTGCCCACTGAACTGATTAGGGAACGAGGCAGCCTGAGAACTCCAAAGCCATGCCCAGACGGGAAGCCAGCACGATTCTACCACCTGCTGAGGGTGGTACAGCTTGTCACGATCTTCAACTTATCTCCAATTCATTAATTATAAACACAGATAACAGCGTGCCATCCAGAGCAGATTTACACCCTTCTAAGTCCACTGAAATCAATGAGCTTACAAGGTTATGACTGTTTTAGGATTGCAGTGCAAAAGTGGCAAGGGTGATTCTCTAAATGATGGAGTGGCGGATGGATGGAGGGGGCGTTCCATCAAGTCAGATTGCCAAAGGGAAAGGGGATTTCAAATTGACATACGACACGACAACAAACCCCTATTTCTGATTGCATCATCAAAAAAGGGGTCGGCCTATCCTAGCCCATGAACGGGATGGGGCTAGAGGTGGCCCACAAGAGTCTGCTAAGATTATGAAAAATATTGAGACTGTGAGTGGAGAAACTGCTTTTCTCCCATTTTAAAAAAAATGAATGGTTTCGATGATCTGCAGAATCCCGAAGTTTTTCTTGGAGTGTTAACTTTTCAGGACGCTGGTGGAGTGTAGAGCAGGGAAATCAATGCTTCTCCTTCCCGGCTTCACTAGAAAACTCCCGGAGCATTGTGGGAGTTGTGCTGGCAGGTAAGGAAAGAGCCTTTTCTTCACCTGCCTGCCAACAGGATCTCTCTCTCCCCCGCTTCCCCACCCCACCCCCCAGATTCCCAATGCCCCACCACCCAACATTTTCTGGCTACCCCCTTGGTCCCAATATTCATCCAAGCCTTGTTTGGGGTAGTGGTTAAGTGAGTGGACCAGGTTTGATTCCCCACTCCTCCACTTGCACCTGCTGGATGACCTTGGGCAAGCCATAGTTCTGTCAGAGCTGTTATTGAAAAAGAGCTGTTTCTGTCAAAGCTCTCTCAGCCCCACCTACCTCACAGGGTGTCTGTTGTGGGGAAGGGGAGGGAAAGGAGTATGTAAGCCGCTCTGAGACTCCTTTGGGCAGTGAAGAG